GGGTGAACTAGGATATAAAAACCTGAAGGACTCTATGAAGGAGTTGCTCAACAAATCTCCTCTATTGGAGTGCTTGGGAGATTTCTCCTTCAACTTAGAATTTCTCCTCGAAGCCCAAAAGAATATAGCCCTTCGAGAGCTCTATACATGCAAAGGACTGGCATCAATCCTCCCCGTATTAGAAGAAATGTATAGTATTCGAGAAGTAAGCTTTTCCACGATGGAAGAATGGACATTGGCACCTACCCAAGAATCCCTCTCCCTCTCACAACATTCCGTGAAGCCATTCAACTGGTCATATTTACTCTGCGCTCAAAGGTTTCCGTTGGGATCCTTGTTTCATCGCCTTCCATTTCTGACCTTTCTCCATATCGTGCCAACGATCCACGAGCTCAAAGAAATCACTATGGCTCTCCATCAACTTCAAAGCCTCCGAATATGCATGATATATCTCACTGCTGTACCCGGTCATTCACCGTCATTGACGAGACAAATCTCACCAGTCAAACCCAACCATTCGATCCGACGCTTGGTTTTTCACACAATGGATTTCGGCTTTGTGTCCACCATTCCACAAGAGGAGAGGCTACTTATATCAGTCATTCTCTTTGAGATGTTATGTCAAGCGGCTCCTTCTGTCGAACATCTAGGGATCGGTGGAGACAATCCATTATTATCGCACTTGAAACTGGACGTATTCGAGAAATTAGAGACGCTAACTTTAATGCCTATTGGCAAGGAAATCAATATTCATATTCCTAACTCTGTCCGAACACTCCTTATAAGCAAGAATAGCGCTGTCCGGAAGCCCCTACCCTCGCCAAATATCAAGGCCCTGGATATCCAAATTTCATCTGTGAAACAAACGGGAGAGGAGATTTACAACGCGCAGACTACCTTTATGGACCTCAGAGAGTGGCCGGCACTCGAAGTAGCGACTCTCCATAGTAATTACTCTCGATTGACTGGTACCTCCTTCAGCTCACTTAGGAGTATCACCCTCAAGGCGCTTCGTTATCGCAAACGGTTTGACATCAACATGACTTTGTTTGTCAAAGAAATCGCTGAAGCGGTGGACAACTACCCATGCCTAGAAGAAATCCATATGGACGAGTGCCCAGAATGGGACATCTTGATGATCATGCTGGAAAGACGAAATATCCTCGCAGGTCCTGGTATCAAACCAATCAAGCGCCTGATTTTGCCGAGTACCTGTCCATATAGCATCTCTCAGTTGCTTCCAGGTCTCCTCGCGGGGAAGTGGGTCACAAGGCCATCGAACTTCGAGCTCTCTCAGGCAGGCAATGCGAATTATGTACTGAATTCAGAAATGTAAGTGTTTTATGGGTCGTCAAGCTTGCCTTATATTGACTCATTTCTTGTAGACCAGGATGCTTCGCGTGCCTCCGAATGTTGCGCAATTGTGATACACGTTCGTGGACGTACGTGAGACCACTTTATAATGATGACAGGCTTTTCTCAAGATTACACGATTATCCGAGTTCTGAAGATGAGATTCTTGCGACTTGGCTGGAAAGGGCCCTGCTGTGGGAGAAGTTCTATACTCGTGGAAACCGCGTACTTCGCTGTACTATTACAGAGGCACTCAGACTCACAAAGTCCCTTGATGCCAACTCATCTCCTCTCCTGTCTCCACTCCCATCCCAATAGCTCTTGTCGGTTGGACTTGCTTCATTGAATTAGCCGAGTTTATTAGCTCATTTTTAAGCCGCTTCGTTCACGAGATTATCGGATTTGACTTCTTACTGTATATAATAGTATAATAAAGCGACTCGATTTTCTCTCTACTTGAGAATGAGTCATGAAGCTTGAGTCTTTGACTTGACGACAATGAGCACTTCAAATATGAAGGGAATTGAAATTATATATCCCTCTGTAAAAAGGCTCTCGATAGTAACGGCTAGGTTACGAGCTCTCTGCTCTACTGTGACACTCTTTCCAACACGACACCAGTCAAGCAAGACTCGGAAATCACTCACTGGTACTGGTGCAAGCAGACTTCTGATGTGACGCACGCTACTCCTGTACACCTGAATAATCACCGGCACCTCAGTTCCACATCGAGCGGTGGCCTGTAGAACACGCCGACAAGGTATGCCCATTACGCCCTTGAGGTATTTCGATGCAGGTTCTGTGTCTAATTTCGCTTGTTCCATCCGAATATTCGTTCCGAAGGGCGCCGACTCTGCATCACCGGGAATACCAAGTAGCTAAAGTGAATCTTGCATATCCAAAAACTCTGTAGAACTGTTCATATTATTAGTAGATTAATATAGAGACCATTAACGTACCAAAGTTTGCCGGTTTCGATTTTTATATACGCATTGAGCATGCCGATCTTGTCAAGAATAATCGAGCAATAACAAACCCTTTCTTTGTAAATTCTGTGCCCCATCCGTGAGGCAGCCGGGTATATGCAGGTTCAAGTGTAGGCGGTGGCAGGACGGGGTGAGGCGGCTGAATCGAAATGCCAATGGATTTGCAAACGATGCATCATACACTGGCATCCTCTTTCAAACCCAAGCCACGCTTCTCACACTCGAAAAGGGAATTCGTGACAAAATCGAGTGGGTGACGGCCTTGCTTTGTGCAACTTGTTCTCCGCCTCTTCCTCGTTTCGTCGTTCGCAAGGAAGAAAAGAACATGTTTAGTACGATCAACTCGCTCGTGCGCCTCACCTTGGGCCTGTCGATTCTTTCGGCGCAGAACACGATCCATCTGTTGAAGAATCTCTACTGGACTCTCTACACCCAGATTTGGGACACCAACTTGCACATTGCAAACATATTTGCACCGGAGCTCAACCCGAACCGTGTTATCCCACAGGGCAAGCCCGGAGCCAATGGTACGCCGCCCATTTCTCAACTCGCGCTTTCGGCCCCTTCAAACTCTAGGAAGTTGGGCCGGAAACCAAATGTTTCAATATTGTCGTAATATACTAATCATTCGTATCCTTCGTCGTTTTTAGGCGACTGGTCTCGCTTCACCTATTTGCCACCCACCGAAAACGACTCGCGCTCACCCTGCCCGGCCCTCAATGCCTTGTGCAACGTTGGTACGTAAATATGCCCTCTTCTTTATTGCTCCCGTCTCAACACCCTGCAGGTATCTTGCCACGTGACGGACGAAATATCAAATTTACAGATTTCGCCAAGATCTTGAACGAAACTTACAACCTCAGTCCCAGCCTGTGCATGAGCATTCTGATGAGCATTGCAAGGTTGTTTGGAAAGGATGTAAGTCCATAATAACACACCTTATTCGCATCCGCCACTGTCGTCAATTGGTTCTGTAAAGGGTGTTTATCTGACCCACGTTTCTATGCTACAGTACTTTACCGACAGCGTCGACCTGGAATTGTTCAACACTCACAATGTCATTGAACACGATGCCTCGTTGATCCGTACGTTTACATGCAATTTTTGTGTCGACCGGCAAACTAATCCTTTTCTCGGTATCTATCACGTAAATTATAGGTCATGACGCAATCATCCAACCGGACCAGGGACGCCCGGCCGTCGACCTCGTCAACATGTTGCTGAGATTCGCCACTGGTGCCGCAGTTGTCAACAAGCAGCGTGTTAGGGTACGCTCTATTCCCCTTGGCCACCCATTCTTTCCCCTCATTCCAGTTTCCGCGCACGATTCTATAGCTAACATTTTTCATTTAGATCCTTACTCCTGCCGACATTGCTGCCTTTACTCGTCAACGCCGTGCTGACTGCAAGGCCCACAACCCCCAATACACCCTCAAGTTCATCCACAAATTCTTCTCGGCTAACAATAGTGCCATCATGTACGATACCTTTGGTGGACGCGTCGATGACCTCAAGGTCTGGTTGACCGAAGAGAGGTTCCCTCAAGGATGGCAACCCCGCTATAACAAAAGATATGGCTACACGCTGCTCGCGTTGAACTGGAGGACCCTTCAAGTGAGTACTACTACGATTTGCGACGCAGGAATGGAAAGCTGATGAACTCTTATCGTCTAGATTGCGCTTTGGGCTGAGCCCCCACCGTTTGTCAACCCACCTCGCCGACCCGTCACCAATGGTCCTTATTCGGATTAAAGACCGGGTCCCTATTCTTGAACTTGCGTACCATCATGTCTTTTCGTTATCTCGTGGCAAGATCAAGTATACTCG